GGGAAGGGAAAAAACAGAATTCGTTGACAGAGCGAATGAGGAAATGGGTCGCTGAAAATCGCTTTCCCTTTCCGCTCTGTTGCGATTTTATTCCTTTAGGGGGTTTAAGTTGGGAATTCCAGTTCACGGAAATGGCAGATCGATGCTGGGAAGCTTATATAGGACGGGAAATGAGAAAAAAAAATGGGTGGGAGATGACGCAGAGGGAAAGAGATGGCAGCCCCAATCCGGATTTTATTTCCGTGTAATAATCGAGTGGCTGATGTTTTGATTGGCTGGCATTACCATTATACGGAGTAGCATGTTTCTAGATATTTTTTGGGGTGAGACACGTAAGAAATACTAATAATAATTCAATAATGTAAAGAAAATGGCAGGTCCCACTGTCCCAGGTCCCCGACTCCCCGTCCCATGGAAAGTTTGTAACTTTTGAAAAAAAAAACAATATATTTATAAGATTACATTTATAAATAGTAATCTTATTATCTTATTATATTACGTTCTTATTAAAATTGTTTTTCAAAATATATTTAAATTATCTTATTTAATTATTGTCTAAATAATTGTGTCGCTATGTCATATGAACTTTCATCAGACGAGTGCAGAATAACAACAATAATATTTGGTGTACACATCATTTACACCATAAATGTTGTCTATGTGTATAAATTTGTCTATGCGTGTAAATCATGGCGTACTTTTTTTGCAGATTTGTCGATGTGGTTGCACGGAAACCAATGTTGGTGTGTACAAACACAAACACTATCAATACAAACACTTTTTGTCTGTACAGACAACTAATATCAAGGTTAAGCTGTTTGTGTGCAAAAATAAAATTTTACACGCATACAACTAATGTTTGTGTACACAAACATTGGTTTGTGTGTAGATAGGATTTTTTGCACAAAAGTCAAGACGAATGCACGAGAACCAATGTTTGTGTACACAGACATTAGTTGTCTGTGTGTAATGTTTTTTGTTTGTGTACATCAAAAACATAACCCAAATATTAGTTGTTTGTGCAGAGAAAAAGTGTGTGTACACATACATTTATTATCTGTGTATACTGACATTGATTTCCGTGTAATCACCTTGACAAATTTGAAAAAAGGTACCTCATGATTTACAGACACATACAAATTTTATTAACACAAACAAATATTACCGATGAATAAAAAGGGTGTAACTCAAACACTGTTTTTTTTTGCAATACTCAAACATTGTTAATTCAAGAATTTTGAAGTTCTTTTGGTAAAAGGTTATCATCAGCTTGTATTCTTTCTTATCTCAGTAATTAATTAGATTGTTTTAGACATTTCTTTTATTAATAGTAAAAGGCATATTTTAAATCGTTTTGAACCAAACAATCCGTAACACGATCACTAATCTTAGAATCACATATACCGTTAATCACCCATATAAAAGCAACATAATATTCCCCTTAGCACTAACAAGATAATTGTAAGCCTAGTACGTGATCGTACTTGATTTCTTATTTCTAAGCTTTGCTGGAAAGTGCATTATACATTCCGGAGAAAATTCCTCAAATTGCAAAACTAACCTATGTTTTGAGTTCGCAATTTTGCATCTAACCTATTATTCAACTAGTATTTGCTTTATAAAGTTCGAAAAAATTTGTTCTTATTTTATTGGACGTCCAACTTTCCTAAATAATTTATAAAAAATGGCATGTATATTATTAAAGTTTCCTCAAACAAATATATATGAATAGTTAAGTTTTTGGATAAAAGTATGATTAATTACCGTGTACACGTACACGTAACTAAACAAGAGTCACCATAATGTATTTTAGAAAGACATGTCATTGTAGATGACGAGTCACCACAAATGGGTCACTAAATATTTCACTTTTTTGAAAAATATAAAAATAAGTCATATTTTATGTTTTGAATTAATTTAGTAATATTCATGCACCTAGTAATCTATTACTCTATATAAGACACAAGTCTAAGGAAGTTATTAGGTTTGAACTTTGAAGCAACAATAAAAAAATGTTACATGTGACTGTGTCTTTATGGTTTAGTGTGTTTTCAGTTAAAGGTATAAGACGGTATTTATGACTTGTTTATTTTTCATTTGTGTGAAATAATGGGAATTGAAAGAGGTACTACAATAGGAATAGGAGTCCTGATAGATATATTTATAATAGAGGAGTTGCCAAAATACAAAGTATTCCTAAATAGATATTAGACAGATTCCTAAATATATACTCCCTCAGTCCCAAATTGTATGATACATTTACTATTCACTTGATCAACATAAATCAATCTTAATCTTTTATTTTATATATTAAAAGTTTATGAAATTTGAATTATTTTTTGCAGGTTTTGTAGCGGTTTTAATGTAGTTTATGAATATGTAAATTTTATTTTCTAGAACTAATTTGAGTGTTGTCAGGGATCAGTTTGCTTTATCATCAGTCAAACATCGTAAACCGTAATGTATCTTACAAATTGGGACGGAGGGAGTATTAGGCAGATTCCTAAATATATTAGTCTATTACACTCCCTCAAACTGTGCGGGAGATACAACGCGCAGGTTGACCTTTAAAAAATGAAATTGCAAACTAAAAAAAACTCTTAGTAAATATATCCGTGAGCGGAAGATTAGAAGACACATCTTTGATAATATGATCTCCATGAGAATATATGTCTGGAGCAGCAAGCGGCGAACTCAACAGCGCGCTTGAAGCAAGCACCGTGGTCAGCGACACAGAGAATGTGGGCTGCGCGGACATAGGCAGCAGCAGGCGGCGAACTCAACGGCACGCTAGAAGCAAGCACCGTGTTCAACGACGCGAAGGAGGTGATCTGTGCCATATTAGCCGCGCTCATCTTCAAAGGATCAGAGACTACCGTAAATGTGGCGGTAGTCGACCCCGAGGCGGCAGTGACTATAATAAGGTTCATGGGAACCGAAAAAAAGAAAAAAAATTGTATCTACAAACCTAGAGCTCTTGATACCATGTGAAATAATGAGAAAGAGGTAGTCCAATAGGAGTCCTGACAGATATATTTAGAGAGATTTACCAAAATAGGAGTAAAAGATGAAGTAAATGCAAAAATAGGACCTATTGTTTTAAATTCCCTAAGTAGGATTAAATAATTGTGTTTGGACAAAAATAGTCTCCCCAGTGTTGAACTGCCGTAACATTTGCGAGTAAATTGCGCATCCCAGCCATCCTCCTATCTCCAGGTCTATGCCGCAATTCAACCATCCTCCAGTACCACACCAGTGTGTCCTTCAGCGGACCGCTGCCTCCGCCGCCTTAGCAGAGTTCGCCGCCACCATCCTCCAACGAAGCCGCCGCTCTTCGGCAAGTCCCTACAACCTCCATCGAGAATGCCACTTGATATGACACAAATGTCAAACTGGCAAAAACATGACATTTTTAAAATTGCCATTTTCAAAACATATTGACATAAAAGTGACATTTTTTTCAAATATAACCAATAACTATGACATTTTGTGATTCAAAAGTGACATTTTTGTCAAACTGGCAAAAACATGACATTTTTGTAATTCCAAAGCAATATTGTCATCTTTATAGATGTAATGCATTAAAAGTGACATTTTTCCTATTAAGTACTTTTCTTTATGTCATTCTCAATTCATAATTAATCAAAATTGGTAAATAAAAAATAAAAATTGAGATCTACACTTGATCGAGCGTTGCAACCTAATTTTTCATCTAATTGTTAACAAAATCTCTTCCAAAATCTCAAAATCAAAATAATTTGTGTAGAATCCCAAAAGTAAGAAATTGTTAAAGTGAAAAAAAATAGGAACCAGAGGACCAGAGTCGTACAAGAGAGAAGAGAAGAGAAGAGAAGAGAAGAGTGGAAGAGAAGAGAAGGACAAGAGAAGAGAAGAGAAGGAGAAAAGAAGAAGAGAAGGAGAAGAGAAAGGAGATCGAGAAATTTACCTGGCTTCATCGGAGTCAGCGATTGGGTCTGCGCATCTGGGTTTCTTTATCACAGATTCACAGATGGGTCTGCGCATATGGGTGTTGGATCGGCGAAGTATTCCGGGGTTTAATTAAAGGAAGGGCAAAAATGTAATCAGTGTCCTATTTAGGAAATAATAAACTTCAAGTCCTGTTTTGGAATTTTAACCATGTTTTAGTCCTATTTAGGACAATTTCTTATATATTTATAATAGAGGAGTTGTCAAATACAAAGTATTCCTAAATAGATATTAGACAGATTCCTAAATATATATTAGACAGATTCCTAAATATATTAGTCTATTAATTTGGACTTTAATATTCTATTTTACCACAAGTTTATTAGCAATTTTATTTTATTTTAATATATTTTTATTTATTTATTTATTTATAATTAAAGAAAGAAGTGTATTTTTTTAAGCTGAATTGGGGTGTATAAATGGAAAAAATTCCAGAAATATGAATAAAAACATGTAAATTTCAAAATAGAAATAGTATGTTAATCTTTAAAATAGGATTACATTAGTATTATTCTAAAAATTTATTCAAAAGGAAACACACTATTCGTATCATTGACGGTATTGTCAAAATATAACAATAGGTACTTTCAATTATATAATAAAAATTAGTGTTCGTATTGATTTTGTGAAATCTTCTGGGCATTATAACTATTTCAACTATTTATATAATAATATCTGATAATGTGTGTATTATGCGGGTTTTTTACAAGAATATTATTAAAATATAACTTATTTATAGAAATATGATTATTCATTAATACATAGTAGTGTTGTGGTAATTTAATTTCAAAACTTCATCATAAATTACTATAATTTCATTATTACTCTAGTAATAACTAATTATATTTTCGTAAACCATCTTTATTTTGATCACATTTATGTAATTATTTTTTAAAATAAACTACTAATGTAAAAAAATGATAATTTTTGTACTCGTATCTATTATATAGACACCAGAAGCATTTACATTATAATAGAGTCACCATATGAATTTTAAATGCTTTGTGTCGTCTGCCAAACAAAAATATCAAAGTCGAGAATTGCCATGTACAGAGTATAATTTCAAGCAATTTAAAATAAATAAGAAGCCCAATTATAGATTTTTGTTTTGCTAAAAAGTGGAGTATGGAGAAAGAATGAAAACTTGCATGGCTATTTTTTCAAATTTCCTTTTCAAGGAGATCCTATTTCTAACAACCGCCAAACCCAAATTGGTATGAGAGCCAATGTTTTTGTCACTGGTTCTCGTTCATTTTACTCCTTTCCCTTTGCAAATTCCAATCTTTTTTCTTCTCCTGTGACCTAAAAAAATCTGTTTCCTAGGAGGAAGACACCGTTTGTTTGTTTTCGCTGCCCTTGAGGAGAAATGGGAAATGCTGAATCTTCAGTTTCTCAATCTCCATGGTATTTTTCTGGTTCCACGCCTTAATTTCATATGCATTAAAGTGTTCCATTTTCTTTATATGACAGCAATTCTTGTTTCGTGTTAATGAATCATCTGAAAGGATCGATAGCCTTTGATGTGGTGTTTTGTCATTTGGGGATGCTGAGTGCTTTTAAAAGAACACAATCGATTTATCGAAAAATTCATAACATATTGGCTGCAAATTGCAATCTTTAATCATTGATTTAAACACCCTTGAAAATTCTAGATTTGTAGTATGAAAAAGGTGAATTTGAATTATTTTCTTCATTATTTGGCTGATTATCAATAAGTTGGATTAAGTAGTTTAATGTTCGCAGCGAGGGCTCCAGCGATGCAGCTGAAGAAAATGAAGGTGCTGGAATGATTGAAATTGAACCTAAACTACTTTTTTGCAATTCCATATCACTCACTGTTGAAGGTAGAGTTTAATATTTCCATCCATTGTAATTCTGTTTTTGACTTTTTTGTATTGATTCTAATGGAAGAACTAGTCCTGAATTACTTGTATAGGATGGAAAATTACAATTTTATTTTTCTTGTCAAAGAACCTTCAATTAACCTAAACCAATGCCTTATAAGAAACACTAGGGCACCTCCAAGATGAGAGACTTATCATAGCAATAAGCACAAGTTCTTCGTATTTAGGTGGGATCTATTTGCACAATAAAAGTTGAAATATTAGCATAATATGTGATCGATTAATCGTATTACATTTCATTTGCCTTTTACTTGACTATAGAAGCAATTCTATTTATCAAGATATCGAGTAAACCTTCATTGCAAACAGACCCTCAGGATTCCAATGAGAGGCTAGTGGCTATGCTAGGTAGTAGTTTTACAACAATGCCCTGAATGCAAGGTTTTGAAAAATGCTTTCTTAGAGATGCAATGCTTAAAACTAGAGGAGAACCATACAGAAGAAGGCCTCATTATAGAAACCGAGGAGGAGGTCTTAAACTTGACAAAAGGAGATGTCGAAGAGGTTGACAAGCCAGCTTTAGAAACTCTTGAAGAGGAGGATAATGATGCAGAGCTTGCAAAGGAGGAGATGACAGTAAATCTTTTGAGTGAAGCTCAAAGAACAAGTTCAAATAACGGTTTTTTGAATGGTGTTATTACTAACTCTGATGGGAAAACACATTCCCAGTGGTATGAGTTTTTTAGGAAACTAAAAAAAGGACCAGGAGTGAGTTTGCAAACCTTCCATCCCTCTCTCTACTCTTTTAGGAAGCATTCCAAGAAAAGAAGTAGGAAAAACATGGTACTACCTCAAATTGATCCTGATGTAGTTCCTCATTTCTTGGAGACATCCTGGAAGGTCTTCTCCTTATCAGAACTTGAGAAAGTGACATACAACTTTAACCCTGGTATACTCTATTATCAATTGCTTTTTTCAATAAAGTCTGTTGTAACTTGGGAAATACTAGAGAAGGAAAATCAGGAGGAAAATAAAAGGGAACTTTATAAGGAAAGAAATTGTGGGAGGAAATAGAGGATCAGTTCAAGCTTAATAAATATATTACTCCGGTATTTATATTTATTTATTTATTTATTTATTTATTTATTTATTAATTTATTTATTTATTTATTTATTTATTTATTAATTTATTTATTTATTTATTAATTTATTTATTTATTTATTTATTTATTTATTTATTTATTTATTTATTTATTTATTTATTTATTTATTTATTTATTTATTTATTTATTTATTTATTTATTTATTTATTTATTTATTTATTTATTTATTTATTTATTTATTTATTTATTTATTTATTTATTTATTTATTTATTTATTTATTTATTTATTTATTTATTTATTTATTTATTTATTTATTTATTTATTTATTTATTTATTTATTTATTTATTTATTTATTTATTTATTTATTTATTTATTTATTTATTTATTTATTTATTTATTTATTTATTTATTTATTTATTTATTTATTTATTTATTTATTTATTTATTTATTTATTTATTTATTTATTTATTTATTTATTTATTTATTTATTTATTTATTTATTTATTTATTTATTTATTTATTTATTTATTTATTTATTTATTTATTTATTTATTTATTTATTTATTTATTTATTTATTTATTTATTTATTTATTTATTTATTTATTTATTTATTTATTTATTTATTTATTTATTTATTTATTTATTTATTTATTTATTTATTTATTTATTTATTTATTTATTTATTTATTTATTTATTTATTTATTTATTTATTTATTTATTTATTTATTTATTTATTTATTTATTTATTTATTTATTTATTTATTTATTTATTTATTTATTTATTTATTTATTTATTTATTTATTTATTTATTTATTTATTTATTTATTTATTTATTTATTTATTTATTTATTTATTTATTTATTTATTTATTTATTTATTTATTTATTTATTTATTTATTTATTTATTTATTTATTTATTTATTTATTTATTTATTTATTTATTTATTTATTTATTTATTTATTTATTTATTTATTTATTTATTTATTTATTTATTTATTTATTTATTTATTTATTTATTTATTTATTTATTTATTTATTTATTTATTTATTTATTTATTTATTTATTTATTTATTTATTTATTTATTTATTTATTTATTTATTTATTTATTTATTTATTTATTTATTTATTTATTTATTTATTTATTTATTTTTTTATTTATTTATTTATTTATTTATTTTTTTATTTATTTATAAATAGGAAAAATTGATTGTAATAATCCCAACTATTGGCGGTCCGTTTATAATAATCCCAACTATCGATTATTTTAGAATAATCCCAACTCTAGGGTCCTTCCGCCAATAACAGTCCCTGTAAATAAATTCATGTACTTTTTGAAGTGGATGAGAAGAGATATAGCAAGTAATCTCTAAAAATAATCTCAACTTTTAATTTTTACGCTTAATTTATATTTAAAATTCACTTTTATAGAAGGTAATATTTGGTCATGGACCATTATTGGCGGATGGTCCATATAGTTGGGATTATACAAAAATAATCAATAGTTGGGATTATTGTTAGCGGACCGGCAATACTTGGGATTATTATTTTCAATTTTTCCTATAAATATTAATCATATTTCATTTTCTTTCTCTTTTTCCGAGGCGAGGCCGATACAAGAAAATAAATTTACTCATTAGCATTTTTTCCTTTCCATTTTCGTTATCCAAAAACACCTGTAGTGTTAAAAAACCGTGCTTTCAAGTCTTGGGAATTTCATCTTAAAGTTTCTAACATATGTTCCTTTACGATACATTTGGAACATGGGAAATGCTGGCAAAAGAAAATGGGGTAGAAAATATATAAAAGTATGGAAGGAAAGAAAATGGCGAGGGAAAATAAAATATTGGTTAAAACTCAACAAATTTATTTTACTATTTTTTTGAATTTATTTTGATTCATTTACTACAGTTGTATTATATAAATATTTGGAATCTAAACATGTAAAAGAGATTCAAACATTACTATATATTTAAGGTTTAAATATGATTTTATTCCCTGCAAATATGACACACTTTGTTTTGGTCCCTGCAAAATATTTTTTTTTCATCCCTGTAATATGTGCTACTTGGTTTTAGTCCATCTCTAACTCCGAAACAACTCTACTTAGAACTTTTTATTATCAGTTGCATAAATCTATTGGAAACATTTAAATTTATCAGTTTATAATTTTTTTAGGCTAATAAGAGAGTTAAAACAATATTAAAACTAATTATTTGCATTTTTAAAATATGTATTTAAAACCTTTTAAAAAATGAAATTAAATATTTTTTGATTGGCATGACAAAGAATTAAAGAATACCTGTTAGTCGGGATTATTTCGTTGTCAAACGGAGGTTGTTGTCAGTAGTCATGGACTAAAAAGAAAATCAACATAAATTTCAGGGATGAAAAATAAAGAAAATATTTTGCAAGGACCTAAAACAAAGTATGCTATATTTGCAGGGACTAAAAACATATTTAAACCTATATTTAATTTCTTTGCATTTTCTAAGGTAAATCTTAACAAAAGAAATTATCTTCCCTCATCACTTTTTATCTTGGCATTTCCTGGGATCCAACATAACCTTATTGTTAAGATGACATTATATTGAATTGTGATTTGAGCACTGTAGTGACCTAAAGAACATTTTGGTGATGCAATATATTCATGTGCCATTACTATTTAGAACATTTGATTGGGAAGGGAGGTTATTCTGAAGTTTACAAAGGACACTTGGACGATGGGAGGCCAGTGGCAGTTAAAAGGCTGATGAGGGGAAACCCTGAGGAAATGACATCAGACTACTTATCAGAGCTTGGAATTTTGGTACATGTCAATCATCCCAACATTGCTAATATTATTGGGTATGGAGTTGAAGGGGGAATGTACCTTGTACTTCCTTTGTCTCCTCATGGGAGCTTAGCAACTCTTCTTGATGGTCAATACATTCATTTTCTTGTTTCTATAAGAAATTACTCTCTGCTGTCTAAGCTTTCAAATACTGTAACTAACCAAATTTAGGTATTCATTTTTGTTTTTAATAGGTAGGGATCAAAAGGAGAAACTATCTTGGTGCCTTAGATATAATATTGCTTTAGGGACTGCCTCTGGCCTTGCGTATCTTCATGAGGAGTGTCATAGAAGAATTATACATAGAGACATCAAGGCATCTAATGTTTTGCTCTCGGAGGACTTTCAACCTCAGGTACTTTTTAGCAAATAAATCATAAAATGATTTTTTCTCTAGAGTCAGAGACATGCACTTAAGCCATTGGATATTTCACCTCGTTTTCAATTTCGGCTCCATGTAGCCTAGATTTTGGAATACGAATAACAACTAAAAGAAATTTAAAACCTGAATGTTGTAAGAATGATCCGTTTCTTAAAGTGCTTTTATTTACGAGTGATGTTTAGATAGTAAAGTACAACCATAACATAATGAAAACATGCATTAAAATTCCTTATTTTTCCAAATCGAACAGCATATGGCCCTAAAATTGCTTCTGTTCCATAACACTTTGAGTAGTTTTGACCAAATCCAACAGTAGCACTAGAAGTAGAATTGCTAAAAAGTACTAGCTTTTAAACACAAAGGCCATCAGATTCTTAATCTTCACACATTACATTTTCTTGACTCACTTTCCAAACCTTAAACCTCAAACAATCATCACAAGATAATAATAAGATATGAATGAATCTATTATCGACACAGGGAAGAGCTTTAGGAGTCTTTTACTTATGTATCACAGTGCTACACTGCTAGTCATGTGATATGAAGTTTTGGTGAAGACAATAGTAATGTGAATCTTTGATGGTTAATTTTTAGTCCATTGTAGATATCTGATTTCGGGCTTGCAAAATGGCTCCCAGATAAGTGGAGTCACCTCACAGTATCTCAGTTTGAAGGCACATTTGGGTTGGTTGAATCAGTAGAACCTTTTTTGCACTCTTCTTAATTTTATCTACAGCTATTGTTCACTATAGAGCTTCTTAAAGTTATTAATGCTTGTGATTGCAGATACCTCCCTCCAGAGTTCTTTGTGCATGGAGTTGTTGATGAAAAAACTGATGTATATGCTTTTGGAGTATTGCTGCTGGAGATTATTTCTGGTCGCCCTGCTCTTGACCAATCTAATAACAGTGTGGTGATGTGGGTACGTTTGTAATATGTGTTATTGCTTCGATGGTTGTGAATTTGATATATTGTATTGAAAAAAGAATAAACTATCACATGAAGGCTAAACCGCTGCTACTGAAGAAAAGTTTTGGGGAGTTGGCTGATCCAGCACTAGAAGGTTCTTATGACTTGGAGCAGATGAAGGACATGGCTATGGTAGCTTCTCTGTGCTTACAACAATCTTCTGCAGACCGGCCTCCAATGAGCAAGGCATGCTTTTAATTATGATACAATAAAACTCTCTTTCTTTTTTGGTCTAATTTTCAAGTCCACCTCTGCAAATAATCATCCCAAGCCAGGGTTGCGAGTGTAGAATTTGGTTGAAATGCTGAAAGACTGAAGTGTACATAACTGAAAGCATAATGAAAGGTGTCTCAAATAGCAAATTATCACAAATATACTTAAAATAGTTTCTTTAGACTATTAAAGGAAGAATGCAAAAGCTTCACTTCTCTCCGCTTCACTTAATTTTCAGCAAAAAAGTAGCTTTTACACTATTTGTTAGATTAATTGATCCCTTATTGCCTTCAATACTTTGAATAAGTTAGTCTTTACTAGAAAATGAGGTGGTTTGGAATCCTATTTCCCAAATTAGGATAAGTTTAAACTTATTTTTCAAATTATGGTGGTTTTTGCATCGTGATGGCATTGCCTACCGTTGATGATGACCCCATGTTATCATCGTCACATCAACCATGCACCCGAACACATCTCCATTGCACCTTTAGTCATTAGTTACCGCATCATTATGCAATAGAGATGTTGCGGTAAAGTCAGCAATGGTGAATACAGTGCGACGGTGAGGGCCACATTGAGGAGGGGGGCTCAGATGTGGTTGATAAACCAAGCAAGTGGTTCGCCATCCCAGCAATATTACAAATTAGGGGTGAGCTCGGTTCTTTCGGTTTGGTTTTGACCTAAAACCAAATACGGAACCAAAATAAAAGTTCGGTTCGGTTTTACACTCCAAAACTTGGAACCACGTTTTGATTGGTTCGGTTTGTTTCGGTTCGGTTTCGGTTTTTCCGGTTTTTTTACTAAAAATGTGTCATTTGATTTAAAATTGATATAAAAGTTGGAGGGATCAAACATATTACATAAAAATTTATGCTAGCATACTTGAACAAATGAAGAAAATAATAATAAACAAATATGTCATGAAAAAAACAAATATGTCATGAATTATATGAGTATGCGGGAGAGATACTTGAACAATAATTTACATTGTTTGTGATTAGTTTGAAAAAAGTTTATGAATACATACGTCCTATGTGATATAGCTGAGATAAATATTTATTTGTTTTATTAATATAAAAAATCTAAGTTACAAAAAAATAAGTTACATAAAAATAAAAGTTAATTACTACTAATAACCAGTAAAAACATATAATCATGCAACAAATTGCAACGTACATACATAAAAGACATAATAGATCAATATAGCTACATTATTATGGGCAATGAATGTGTATATGCATTTATAAACTAAACTAAACATAGCACAAGCATTATTTCTCTAGCACAAGAAATTCAAAGATTATTGATGATATTAAGATTAATGATTACATTTAACAAATAAAATTTCATATTTTATTTTTGTTTGGTTTGTTCGGTTCGATTCGATTTTGAAGGGTAAAAACCAAAACCAAACCAAACTACTACGGTTCGGTTCGTTTTTTTACATTCGGTTTCGGTTTTTAGCGGTTCGGTTTTATTTGGTCGTGGTTCGATTTATGATTCGGTTTTCGATTTTTCGGACCCAGCCCTAATACAAATGCATATTCTTTATGTCTTTGAGCATATGGCATACAGGTTGAAAAAATGCTAAAAGGTGAGGAGAGCATTTCACATGACATCAAGAAGTTGCAAAACCGGCTAAGTCTCAAGACACATCGTCCCATTGAGCTGATCAAAGAAGCACTACTCAAAACACCAAAGAGTTCAAATGATTCACCTAAAAGCCTGAACAGTACACCAAAGATTGTATGTGATGATACAGAAGTGAGAAACGAGATTCCAATGGAACAATGATGACCCTTGAAGATGAACACATTTCTCATCTTTCCGATCTTCATTCAACTTTAACTTGGATAAGGATATTTCAATATCCAAATGAGAAAGGGTATGAACATGATTATGAGTAAGATGCTTGGAGGTTTTACAATGTAAATGCTTTGTATATATAATAATAATAATAATAATAATAATAATAATAATAATAATAATAATAATAATAATAATAATAATAATAATAATAATAATAATAATAATAATAATAATAATAATAATTAAATGAGCTGTCGTGTTAATAGAAGAGATCACAAACTAAAGCCTTATGTGTGTATATATATATCTAATTGTTTATTGTTTTGTTAGGAATCTGATTAGGTATCGCCCGGACTAAGTTTGGACATCCGCTTCAGAAAAAATGTTCTTACACAAGAACTTACACCTTGTGTCCACTGTATATAAGGCAAATACTATAGTGGACTGGATTATTACTTAATTTAATAGCCGATTCAACCAATCACAATTCACAATATGAAGGTGTGTTCTTAAATAATTACTATTAGCAAGACTTGGAGGGATCGAGTCTTATATGAAGTTTATCAGCTTATTGTACAAACATAGTTAACACGCGTTGAAGGCCAATTCCAAATAAAATGTAGTTGAAACTAAAAATAATTTCACTATTAGAGAGTACAATTTAAAGAAAATCATATATTATTCAATTCAAGAAAACTCTAGACATGTAAGTTGGAGATTTGTTAAATGACTAGAACGCTTGACATAATTCTTACGTCGCGAGTGTCATCCGCCTATGTTTTGATTTGAACAAGACTCTCCGTATTTGAAACTCTTATTGCTTCCAACAACATAGAAAATTCAGTATATAATGTCTCCCAGGCCAAATGCTGAATTTACACTGAAGAACTATCAAGCGGCTGTACCAAAATTTTTTGTATCCAACGTGGATTTGAAATTTCTCATAAATTTCTTGCATTATGAGTTTGGCGCTGTAGTCCCGATCCAGATGCACTTTAGGAGCGATCTCACTGCTATGATCTTGGCCGTCAAGATCCTCTCATCCCGAATTGCGGCATAATCTATCCGACCAATCTACAATTGTGGAAGAGTTGGATATTTTTTCACTTTCCACAACTGTAATTAAGTTCCGACTTTCTCCTGTTTGGATATGGCAAGTGCGCGCATAAGCCCAGCTTGATGCACAATGCCTTGCACTTTTGTCATCCGATCGAAAAAAATCGGTATTGACAAATGTTTTCTTTGGCCATGACTTCTTTTAGTGCATCACCATATAAACTGTGTAGTGTGCCGACTACATAAGGCTCGTCTAGCTCCACATTGGCCTATGTGGTTTCTATTGCCTTATCGCTGTCATCGCTGGTGGATGATTCGACATCACTACCAAAAACTTGTTCATAGTTTGGGTCGTCCAACTTCTACTATTGTACTACATAACATTTGAAATTTCATTTTTGTACTACTATAAATGTAAGGGGAGTAAAGTACTACTCCTATTAAATAATTCCATTACAAAACAAGGATATTTCATTTAACTACTAATTTCCATCTTAATTACTATTTCCTTATCTTTTAAAAAAAATACTATTTCCTTATAAATTACAAATTTTCACCTTTATATGTATACAGTTATATACACATAATGCAACTAGTAATAGTAGCAATATAATGTCACTACATACTCATTTTTACGATTTCGACTAGTTGAACTGAAACAAATTGAACTAATTTATTCAAATAATAAAGATTTACAAATCAATCCACTTTGACTACTCTTGGTAAAGTTTTTTAGATTCAGGGATCACAAAAGCCTATTTTCCATTTAACCAGGAAAGTTGACACATTTAAACCAATGTTCCCAAATAACGTACAAAATACGTTCTTGAACAAAAAGTCTTGCAACAATATATGTAGTTGCAAACTTGCAATGTTCTGCTCCTTTTGTACGTCAAGGAACATTGACTTTAGACAATGTTCTAAAAAGCGTAAGGCGTGGCGAGGCGGCACGATCAAGCCCGAAGCCTTTGAAGCCTAGGCGGGTTTAGGTGAGGCCTAGGCGTGAAAAGACGTTTTAGTTTTTTACTATTATTTTAATTTTTTTACTATCATTTCATATGTATATGGTAATATTACATAATATCACATACAAATATTACATTTTTTATATGAAAAAGTTCCACTAATATTACTTACAAAAAATCGTGGACAAAAATATGACTTAATAACTACCGAGTATTATTTAATATAATTGTGTTGAAAGTTACATAGCAATGATCACACATGTAGTCACTGCCATGTAATTTTGAATACATTTATAGTAATTAATAGTTACAAAGTTACATTTTTTCCATGACTTTTTTTTACTAGTAATATTTTAGAAAAAACCCTTTTTATATTTTAATAGAAATAAATTTTTCAAAAGCACAAATAATAGGTTGATGAAAAAAATAGTTAATGTTGGTCCCGTTTAATATGGTAATCAGTCTAGAGGGGGGGGGGGGGTGAATAGACTGATTGGTTTTTCAAGTTTTTCTCAAAGTCAAAACTGACTTATCAGAGAAGGTCTGATTCTGATGACAGAGAAAGGCTGGTTCTGATATCAGAACTGGCCTTGGCAGCGGATTCTGATCTGTCCGGGTAGCCTCAGAAAATACTAAGGCAAATGCCTTTCTGATAACTCTGGAAACAAGATCTGCTGAACACAGATTCCAAGTCTTAGAGTTAATCAGTTAATATCCTAAGTGCAGAAATATAAATTGCAGTAAAGTAAATGACACCGGATATTTTATAGTGGTTCAAGGAACAACTCGTTCCTCTAGTCCACTGTTCCACTAGCTTTGAAGTAGATCAGTTACAAAGCTAATTCCTAGCACTTAAGAAGTTCTCCACGCCTTCTTCAAGCCTAGCTGCCACCCAGGATGCAGTTCCACGTCCTGATGGCTGGTCCTTTCACTCAGCTTCCCGGAAGTATCACCACTTCACTACTGCAGTTACTTGGACGCCCTTCTTTTCAGAAGATCCTTTGAAAAACAGAGTTTTTCCTCCAACTTGCTTCGTCACAAATGATGTTTGATGAAGTTCTTGAAGAGTTGAAGAACAGGATGAACTTTGCTCGTTTGTTGGGGATGAGAGATTTGGAGTTTGAATCTTCCCAACGTAAGCTTGTCTTGTTGAAGATTGTAGAATTTGAATCTCAAGAGAGCTTGAACTGAAACAAATTGAACTAATTTATTCAAATAATAAAGATTTACAAATCAATCCACTTTGACTACTCTTGGTAAAGTTTTTTAGATTCAGGGATCACAAAAGCCTATTTTCCCTTTAACCAGGAAAGTTGACACATTTAAACCAATGTTCCCAAATAACGTACAAAATACGTTCTTGAACAAAAAGTCTTGCAACAATATATGTAGTTGCAAACTTGCAATGTTCTGCTCCTTTTGTACGTCAAGGAACATTGACTTTAGACAATGTTCTAAAAAGCGTAAGGCGTGGCGAGGCGGCACGATCAAGCCCGAAGCCTTTGAAGCCTAGGCGGGTTTAGGTGAGGCCTAGGCGTGAAAAGACGTTTTAGTTTTTTACTATTATTTTAATTTTTTTACTATCATTTCATATGTATATGGTAATATTACATAATATCACATACAAATATTACATTTTTTATATGAAAAAGTTCCACTAATATTACTTACAAAAAATCGTGGACAAAAATATGACTTAATAACTACCGAGTATTATTTAATATAATTGTGTTGAAAGTTACATAGCAATGATCACACATGTAGTCACTGCCATGTAATTTTGAATACATTTATAGTAATTAATAGTTACAAAGTTACATTTTTTCCATGACTTTTTTTTACTAGTAATATTTTAGAAAAAACCCTTTTTATATTTTAATAGAAATAAATTTTTCAAAAGCACAAATAATAGGTTGATGAAAAAAATAGTTAATGTTGGTCCCGTTTAATATGGTAATCAGTCTAGAGGGGGGGGGGGTGAATAGACTGATTGGTTTTTCAAGTTTTTCTCAAAGTCAAAACTGACTTATCAGAGAAGGTCTGATTCTGATGACAGAGAAAGGCTGGTTCTGATATCAGAACTGGCCTTGGCAGCGGATTCTGATCTGTCCGGGTAGCCTCAGAAAATACTAAGGCAAATGCCTTTCTGATAACTCTGGAAACAAGATCTGCTGAACACAGATTCCAAGTCTTAGAGTTAATCAGTTAATATCCTAAGTGCAGAAATATAAATTGCAGTAAAGTAAATGACACCGGATATTTTATAGTGGTTCAAGGAACAACTCGTTCCTCTAGTCCACTGTTCCACTAGCTTTGAAGTAGATCAGTTACAAAGCTAATTCCTAGCACTTAAGAAGTTCTCCACGCCTTCTTCAAGCCTAGCTGCCACCCAGGATGCAGTTCCACGTCCTGATGGCTGGTCCTTTCACTCAGCTTCCCGGAAGTATCACCACTTCACTACTGCAGTTACTTGGACGCCCTTCTTTTCAGAAGATCCTTTGAAAAACAGAGTTTTTCCTCCAACTTGCTTCGTCACAAATGATGTTTGATGAAGTTCTTGAAGAGTTGAAGAACAGGATGAACTTTGCTCGTTTGTTGGGGATGAGAGATTTGGAGTTTGAATCTTCCCAACGTAAGCTTGTCTTGTTGAAGATTGTAGAATTTGAATCTCAAGAGAGCTTGAATTATGATGACCAAAAGTTGTGTCAAAGTTATTTTTCTGTTCTTCGGTGTGTAGCTTATATACTGAGGTTGTCTGCCCGTTGGAGGAGGAGACAACTGCATTGAATGCGCGTACAGTTGACTTGACCGCCGTTTTGGAAGGTTTCTATTTTTATAAAATATCTTCCCGGATTCCTTGGTCAATCATTTGCAATCAATCCTTCAGCGTATCAGGCTCATTTAATGTGCATTAAATGCTTTCCTTTCATGCACAGTCTTCTAGCCGTTGGATGTTTTTACCCGTTGGATTCAGAGCTGTTGGATGTTGCTTGAAATCTTCTGAGTGTTCGTCGAGCTCTGATCAGGCTCTTCTGATATGTTGGATTCTGATGGCTATCTGATGAGTTGAGTTCTGATGATCTTCTGATCTCTGACTGAACTCTGACTCTGAC